ACCCGCGGACGGGAAGGGCGGGACGGAAAGGCAGAGGCGGGGCCTGAGGAAACTTCCTGGGGCGGAGAAGGGCGGGGCCCCGCGAGGTGGGGGCAGCTGGGTTCGCTGAGCGTGGCCCGCGGGGCTTCCTGGGGCCCTAAGCACGGCGGGAGGGGGAGGGGCGGGAGCCTGGGCGGGAGGGGGCGGGGCGTGAGCCTGGGCGGGGCCCGGCCGCTTCCGGGGTCGCTTCCCCTCCGCGGTGCAACCGCCCCTGGTCCGCGGCCACTTCAGCCCTGAGAGGGTCACGTGGTGCCTCCCGTAAGTGACGGGCGCGGCTGTTACAGATTAGTAGGAGTCGTCCGTTTTAGGAAGAAGGCAAGGGTCTCCATGTAAATGCTCTAATTTTCCTGAGCATGTGATTCCAAGTTCACACATAGTGTATACTGTACTGACCGAGGTTTGGGTGCCGGAAGTGAGTGAAACCCTTGATAAGAGTGGATTTCATCGTTGTTCCCCTCAGGGCTGGGATGGAACCCAGGTCCTCACCGCCTGGTAGGCAAGCAGTGTAGGACTGAGCGACACCCCTAATCTCAGAATTACTTAAATTTAAAAAGCGTAACTGCGGGGCTGGGAATGTAGCTCAGTGGTAGACAGCTTCCCTAGACCGCGCCACGCCCTGGGCTCAATCTCCAGGATCAAAATAATTAAATAATAAAAACTAAAATATCTGCTGATGGGATCCTGATTTTATAGGTGGGAAGGCTCAGAGAAAAAAGTGACATGCCCAGTGGCGCAGAACTATTAAGCTCTGAGGCAGGATAGAGAAGTGTCAGGATGTGTGTTGAAAATGTTGAAACTGAAAATGAAAATTTGTGGAGTAATGCTAGCTGTTTAATATAATGAAATAATCCACAAAGAAAGTGAAAATAACTAGAGACACAATTGCCTTAAATGTGGTTTTCTCTGTGGTTAATACCTAAACTATATAAGGAGCTTTCTCAAATTTAGGATAGAAACTCCCAAGTGGATACACAGAAGCCATGAAGAGATGTGACAAAGTTCCACTTGGAAACATGCTATGAAGTCCGTGGTCAGACTTGGAAACCAGGCTGGGCGCGTTGGCACACACCTGTCATCCCAGAGATTCAGAGGCTGAGGCAGGATGATCTCCTTGACTTCAAGGCCATCCTAGGCTATATATTGAGTCCAGACCAGCCTGAACTACATAGCGAGATCCTGTCTCAAAAAACAAACAAACAAACCAAACTTGGAAAGGAGGCTTTCTTCTGAGAGGAAACTGGCAAGTGAATCAACCTTTGCAGCAAATTTCCTAGACCAGTAAGTGGCCTGTAAAGACCTTCCCAGACATGTCTTGGCACCCTTGTAAAAAATAATTTAGCCACATGTATGAGGGCTTATTTTGGGGTCTTTGTACTGTTCCATTTGTCTGTATGTCTGTATGTCAGTGCCACACTGTTTTGAAAACTGTAGCTTTGTAGTAAGTTTTTAAATCAGAAAATGTGATACCCCACTTTTGTTCTTTGTCAAGATCCGTTTGGCTATTTGGGGTCTCTTCAATTCCTGTATGTGGGCTGGGGGTATAGCTCAGTGACATGAGTGTTTGCCTGGCAAGCCTGAGGTCATGAGTTCGATTCTCAGTACCAAAACAACAAAAAAACTTCACTCAATACTTAAAAAAAAAAAAAAAAAAGCATGAAAAAGACAATTCCTATGTGTATTTTAGGATGAGTTTTACTATTTCTACACAAAGTTTCATTGGTATTTTGATATCAATTGCGTTGAATATGTAGATCTTTTTTGGTAGAATTGGTATCTTACCATTATTAAGCTTTCCAGTCTATGAGCATGAGTTGTGTTTCCTTTTTGTTTTTAGTTTCTTCCCACAATATTGTACGTTTCATTATACAAACCAATTTCCTTGGTTACAACTACTATATTTCTTAGTATTTTATTCTTTTTGATACTATTATCAGTGGAATTACTTTGGCAATTTCTTTTCCACATTCTTCATTTTTGAAGTATAGAAAGACAACTGATTTATGTGGGTTGGTTTTATGTCCTGAGAGTTTTGCCAAATTCATTTATTAGTTCTAACAGAATGGCCCTAGATTTTATTGAAGTTGGAGTAGTGTCTTAGTTACTTTTCTTGTTGCTGAGACAAAATAGCTGATGCCCAAAATTAAAGGAGGAAAGGTTTACTTAGCTCACAGTTTGTGGAGGTTTCAATCTGTAATCGCTGGCTCAAAGGCAGGGTGGCACATGGCAAAGGGGCAACTGTTCACGACACAGGAAGACAGCAAAGGCAACAAGAGAGAAGAAGGGAGAAGCCTTTCTCTGTCCCTTACATTGTATGTACTCCGACCCTTAATCCCAGCACTGGACCATGAATTAATCACAAACTCTAGATTCAGCCACCTCTGAAAAACTGGCCCTCCGTGACTGCATGAACCTTTGGGGAGACATCTAGACAGAAGCCATAACAGGTAGGAACCAGGTGCTTTGCATGGTTTGAGGCCACACACAAAGAAACCAGGGCTTGGTGTGGTTTGAGGCCCCGCTCTGGTACCAAGTGAAAGAGTGCATGGTTTTTAATCAGCTCTCCCACCTGTCGGGGAGAGGACAGTGGAGGCAGAGCCTGAAATTTGTAAATGGCTGAACATCAAAACTGGAGTCAACTAGGCACTGTGCTATGTGGCTGTATTCTTCCCTACTCATGATGCTAAGGCAGGAGGATTGCTTGAGCTGAAGGTTTTGGGACCAGCATGGGCAACAGAGACTGTTTCAATATAATAATAGCAACAACAACGATAATAGCAAGCATGATAATAACAGAATCAGGACCACCTCAACTCCTGTCCAGCTTTCTGATAGTGATGGAGTCAATGCAGTAATATCCCATTTATTAACCAATGAGACAAAGAGGAATTCTTTCCCTGGTGGTCATAATTCTGAAAAGTTATTTTTACCCATCACCCCTTATGCCCATAGCTTCAGAGCTGGCTGCAGTACAGTCGGTCTCCAGGGGCCAGAGGTGCACTGGGGACACACTGCACTTGTTCTCAGGCGCCTCACCCAGGCAAGAGGCTAGAAACACTTTGTGCTCCATCCCAGTGTACACTCCTGCCTGTGATCCCCTCAAGCTCTTCTGTTTTTCAGCCCCCTTTTGGGGTACAGGTCATCTTTTTTGTTCTGGGGCTCAAATTCAGGGCCTCGTCCATGCTAAATACATATTCTATCACTGAGCTACACTGCCAGCTCCAGGTTTATTTTTGTTTTCTTTTTTTTTTTTTTTTGAGACAGGATCTCACTGTGTAATTCACGCTGGCCTTGAACTTATGATGTAGCCCACATTGGCCTTGAACTGGCATCAATCCTTCTGCCTTAGTCTCCTGAGTGCTGGGGTTACAGGTGTGCACCACAATGCCTGGCTCCAGATTTAGAGTCCAGACAAGTGGTCTTAGTGTTGGCCCAATCATGGTGGACCTGTTTAGCTGTTCCTCGATAGATATAAGGCCTTGCAGGATGAATAGAGCAACTGAAAGCAAGATCACGGTTTTTTCCTGCTGTATTGATCTCCTTTCATATTCTTTTGCTCTATGATCTTTTCCTCACTGGGTTGGCAAGCAAAGGAAAAGAATGCATGAAAGGGAAAGGTGATACCCTACTGTATATTAAGGAATCATGGTCAGATTAGCATCAGATTGGTTGTTTTCTTGGATTTTTATTTTTTGGGTTTTTGTTTTGTTTTGTTTTGCTGTTGAATTGTTTGAGGCATCTTATATGCTCTAGAAATTAATCCCTTGTCAGTGAAATAGTTTGCAAATGTGACCTCCCATTCTGGAAGCTGGTTCTTACTCCATGGATTGCTTCCTTAGTTGTAGTTTCCTTTCTTTTCAGTTTGATGTAATCCATGTGTCAGTTTCTGCTTTGTGTCCAGTGCTTTGGGGTCCTATTCTAGCCACACAGTCCTTGCGTAGACCAATGGTCCTGAAGTGTTTCTGTTTTCTTCCACCCGTTTCATATCTTACATTTATGTTTTTCATTCAATTTTCAGTTGATATTTTGTATATGATTGTTATGGTTTGTGTCTGTGTGTCCCTCCAAAGCCTCATGCAGTCATGGGGCAGGCTTTTAGAGTTTGATTGATTATGGGTGTGAGAGCTGCACCCGCCCTGGGGTGGATAGTTTGCATATGTAAGGGAGAGGAAGAGGCTGCTTAGGGCGATTCCTGGCTTTTGTGTTTTGTTGCTTTTGCTGTGTTCTGCTGCCATGAGCTGTAGCCCTCTGCAATGTGCCACTCTGCCTTGTAATCTGCCAAGTATGGACTGAAACCTCCACAAACTGTAAGCAAAATAAACCTTTCCTTCCTTAACTTTGGGCATCAGGTATTTTGTCCCAGCAATGAGAGAAAAGTAACCAAGACAATGATGAAAGATAGGGGTCTAGTTTCTTTCTTCTGGATATGCATATCCAGTTTTTCAAACACTGTTTATTAAAGAGACTGTCCTTTATCCAAGATATGTTCTTGCTTCCTTTGGCAAAAATAGAGATAGCTGTAAATATGTGCATTGTTCTTTCCTTTCTTTCCCCTCTCTCCCTTTTTTTCTTCCCTCCCACCTTTCTTTTCTCTTTCTTTCTTTCTTCCCTTCCTTTCCCACCCACCTCCTCTCTCTCCTTTCCTTCCTCCCCACCTCCTTTTCCCTCCCCCACTTTTTTTCGTGGATCGTGAACTCAGGGCACACACATGCCAGCAAGCACTATACTGCTGAGATATACCCTAGTCCCATTTTCTTGTCCTTTTTGAATTTTTGAGATGGAGTCTCTGTATTGGTCAGGCTAGCCACAAAATCCTGGGCTTGAGAAATCCTCCTGCTTCAGCTTCTGCAGCAGCTGGGACTTCAAGCACAGGCATCAAGCCTAGTCACAGAGTTCCTGCTGCTTTTTGGTTTTTCTAAAAGCAGAATGAGATGTGACTTTGATCTTCAGGATACACAAAACGATGGGGAGCCGGGTTTTCTTTCTTTCTTTCTTTCTTTCTTTTCTTTTCTTTTCTTTTCTTTTCTTTTCTTTTCTTTTCGCTTGAAGCTGTTAGTTAACATTAACTTCTCTTATCTCTTTCCTTTCTCTGTCCTCTGGGCTGTAACTTAGCTCAGGGCAGCTTAGAATTCTTGTCTTACCACCAGAATAAGCTCTAATAGAAACAGTGAACATTTCCTTGTTGTGTTACCTGTAGTTTCTTGTTAAATCCCTAAAATCTAAAATAAGCATATCTATAACAATCTTGTAATTATCGTGTTTTATTTTCATCTTACAGAGGACACTGACACTTATTAATTTACAGAAGGCATCCAAAGAGCCAGTAATGTATTGCATCTTTCCTTTAATACACTGTTGAGTTCAATTTATTCATGCTTTTAGTATTTTTGCTTTTGTGTTTATAAATTTGAGTGGTGCCCCGTTTTCTCTACCCACTTCGCTCTTTTTGCTGTCTTTGTTATGTTTCGTTATCTGGATTATGTTTGTTCAAAAAAGGAAAAGGACTTTGGGAACTTATTTTTATTATTACAAAGTTTTAATAAACGCTACGGCCAATTTTGAACGAGGGTACGTTTGGCTCCGCTGACATTCCTGTGGCACCCGCTCTCCATCCCCAGCTCCTGCGCGCACGGTCACGGGCGGGCGCTTGAGGTCCGGGGGCTGGGTCGCTCCACACGCGTGCACTTGCGCCTCCCCAGGACAGCGGTCCGGGCGGTCCCTCTCAGTGCTCTCCTTTTGTATTCAGAAACACCCTGGAGTCTCCTGCAATGTGGAACCATTCCTGTAACTACGTTAAAAAGAAAAACAGCTCTAGGGCTGGGGATTTAGCTCAGTGGCACAGCGCCTGCCTGGTAAGCGTAAGGTCATGAGTACGGTTCCCAGTACCGGAAAAAAAACCAAAAAAGAAAAACAATTCTAAGTTTCGGCGCCTTAGCCTCGCAGGAACTTCGTTTGCCTCCAAACCCAGATTCCCCGGGTGATCCGAAGCGGGGCGGGGCGGGGCCGAGACGCAGACTGGGCCTTGAGGTGCCGCCCCTCCCGGGCGCCCCTCCTCCTCTTCCTCCCTCTCCCCCTCCTCGCCCCCGCCCCACCCCTCCCCTTCCCTCTTACAGCCCCGCCCCTCCTTTCCCCTCCTCTCCCAGCCTGGGTGCGCGGTGTCCACGTCCCCACCGCTGTCCCGGCTTCCCAAGACGATGGCGCCCCCGACCCCTCGCCGCCCGCCGCCGCCTCTGGTCCTGCTGCTGCTCTGGGTGACCGGGCAGGCGGCGCCCGTGGCTGGGCTGGGCCTGGACCCCGAGTCCGAGCTGCAGATCGAACGGCGCTCCGTGCCCGCCGAGTGCCCGCGCGCCGTGCGCCCAGGAGACTTTGTGCGCTACCACTACGTGGGCACCCTGCGCGACGGCCGCCGCTTCGACGCCAGGTACCGGGGCGCCCCGGGGGCGCAGCACGATGTGACCTCCCGCACCCCGCCCCCCAGCACCGCGGGCAACCCCTCCCACTCGGGCTCGCCCGCGGCCCCTGAGATCGGGTGTCCTTGCGCGTGGGGCGCACCCCCGAGCATCCACACGACGCGCGTTTACACCCCGCGTAAAGGGGCCACGTCGGAGGCCCGAGAGTCGCTGCCGGTGTCCGCTGGTCAATTAATGCCCCCCGCCCCGCGCCAGGACGCCACGGACACTGGCCGAGTTGCGGACGGGCGCACGTGCTCTCCGATGCCTAGTCCCCCGCGGTGCTCCCTGCGGTCCGATGGGGCCCCAGAGCTTTCCCTGGCGCTCGAAATCTCGGCGCGGCCTCGCTCTCCCCAGGCTGCACTCTTGGCTTCTGCGCTCAGTGGGCGCGCGCGCGCAGACAGTGCCGGGCCCTGTCTTCCTGCAAATTCCGGACAGCGAGTGAATAAACAAAAGCTGTGTAGCACGCAGCACGATGTGCACTCGGCAGGCGCTTGGAAATGGTCACTCTTGCTGCTTAATTATTGGGCCAGGAGCGGGGGATGGAACCCAGTGCCTCGCACACACACGCGAGGTAGGTGCACCGAGCTGCACCCACCCGGTTTGTTCTTCCTAATGCTTCAGTCGCACCTTTTAAAAACCCAGCTTTGAGACATAATTCGTATGCAGTTCACCCATGTACAGTGTTAAATTCAGTGGCTGTTATATATTCACGCCGACATCACAACTATCTAACTCCAGAACATTTATATCCGTCAGGAAAAGAAAGGCTGCATTCACAGCAGGCCCTTCCCACCTCCACCCACTTCCCCTCCCGCCTTGGAACTGCTAATCTACCCTGTGCCTCCAGGGATTTGCCGTTCTGCACATTTTGTGTGCATTGAATCATGCAACTTGTGGCACTTTGTGTCTGGCTGTTTTTCACTTAGCGTGATGTTTGCAGACTTCATTGGCGTTGTGGCTGTGTGTCCGTGTCTGTGTCGTGGGTGTGTACTGTACGTAACACTCGATCCTATGGATGTACCGCGTGTCCTCATCCATTCCATTCACCCACTGTTTGGCTCCTTGACACTTTTTGGCGGTTGTGAAGAATGATGTTATGAATGCTCATTACAGGAGCTTGTGTGGGACTTTTTTTTTTTCTAATATATACCTAGGAGTGGAGTTGAAGGTTTGTTTGTTTGTTTGTTTTTGTCTTTTTGAGATGAGGTCTTGATATGCAGCTCAGGCTGACCTTGAGCTCACTTTGTAGCCCAGGCTGGTCTCGAACTCACAATGATCCTCCTGCCTCAGCCTCCCAAGTGCTGGGATTACAGGCGTGTACCACCACGCTGGGCTGGAGTTGAAGGTTAATATGGTATCAGTGTTTCTGAGGAACTGCCAAACTGTTTTCCACCATGGTCACGCTGTTTTTCATTCCCTCCAGAAGCGTTCTCCTTTTCTGCATTCTTGCAGACACTAGTCATTGTCTGCCCTTTTGATCATAGCCATCCTGGTGGGCATGAAGTACCATCTCACCATGGTTTTGATACACACTTTCCTCATGTTGAACTGTACCCATCACCTTTCCCTGCTCGTTGGCCATGTGTGTATCTTCCACTTGTTCCTTTTGATAGAGTACAAAGAATTTCTTTTTCTGTTTTCCTCTTGAGATAGGGGTCTTGTTATGTTGCCCAGGCTGACCTCCAGCTCACCATCCTCCTGCCTTGGCCCTCTTGAGTAGTAGCTGGCTGGGAAGAATTTCTGGTTGGTAGTAATGAGTAATTCCCACTGGAACCTGGCGTTCTGTCCATTGGGAGGCACTGTAAGACAGTAGAAAGGCCCGGTAGAACTGTTTCTACAGTGTGTCCCCACCCTGACACACCGCTGCTAGCCTGGGGGGATACAGCATGGTGTGAAGCGGACAGTAAGAAGAGTAGCACATGCAGCCCTCAGGGTTCCCACACAGTTCTCCCGGTGCCTTTGCCCATATTCATTCATCTCAAAAGGATTCACTGAATCTCACAAGACAGCGAGGAAGGTGTCTCATTACAGATAAAAAAAGTGAGGCTTACAGTCTTCAAAGGACTTGCTCAGAACTCTTAATTACAGGGTGACTGAGTGGAAATTCTAGCCCTAATGGGTTATGGCTATAACCTGCCGTCTATAGTTTACTGAAATACGGTAGAAGAGTGTGAGCCCCTGAGAACACCCCCAAGTCTTGACTGTGTTGTGTGTGAAGCGAGACAGGGTCCTCAGAGGAGTCCTTCGATGCAGGGATAAGATCTGAGGACAAGTCACAGTTTCCAGGGAGGAGGAGCTGTGGGCAGAGGGGAGGCTGGGAAGCTGAGCCGGTCAGTGTGGGCTGAGCTTGGAGGAGAGGCATGGGGTCAGGGATGAAGGGACAGGTAGGAGGAAGCCAGAGGAAGAGTGAGCCAGCCTTCTTTTAATGGTTTCATCAACAAGTTTTGATTAACCGATAAGAACTGTACATGCTTATGGGCACAGTGTGATTGCCATCGGCCGGCTTTGGAGACATGGTGCTAACTGGTTGGGGGACTTTGTCCAAGGGGTCAGTGCAGAGCCAGCGAAGACACCGAATCCTGGGACAGAGAGACCGACTGTGCGATTCAAAGGCTGCTGCAGCCCCCTGCAGCCCCTGGGTAGGGTGGAGTGGAGACTGCTAGGTGTGCAGAGGCCTCACTCTGAGGCCTCTTCCTTGGGGAATTTGTGCCGTGTTAGGACTCGGCTTTGAAAGCCTGAGCAGAGTGCAAGGAAGGAGGAATGGAGGGGTTTGGGCTTTGGCTACTGATCTGGTGGCTTTGTCCAGAAGAACACAGGGCCTGTGACTCTGAGAAAGCCACCCAGTGTGCCACAAGGCTCTCTTTTTCCTGGGAGCTTTTTTTCCTGAGGCTCTGCCTGGCCCCGGGCGGACATTGCTTTCTTTCATCACTGCCACTCACAAACCCCCGCCCTCACCGGCACTGACCAGGCACCGTTTGGTTTTGGTCTGTGTGTGCTTTTTTTTTTTTTTTTGCAGTACCCGGGATCAAACTCATGACCTCGTGCTTGCCAGGCAGGCACTTAGGCCACTGAGCTATATCCCCAGCCCCTTCTGTGTGCTTGTTAAGGGTTGTACAGGGCCACTATCCTGCTAAAGTGGTGGCAGCTGCAGTCCCCTCAGCCCTCCTGGCTTGTTAGGGATCAGCAGCGTTCCTAGCATTAACAGTGAGGAGAGACCGCTCCCTTCTGGGGGTGAAGTGCTACCTGGTCTGCTGTTTCTGTGCAGGCGGAGTTAGTGTCCCACTGAGGCTCAGGGTTAGTGGGTTAGTGTTCTGCGAGGTCCAGGCATCAGGGAATAGGCTGGGTGCTCACCTCATGCCTCTGCCTTGAGGGTGTGTGGCGTCAAGGATGCTCTAGCTGTTGTGCTCACACCTTGCCCAAGTCAGAGCCACCTGCAGTGCTTTGCACACACAGCTTTTGGTTCAGTAGCTCTGGAGGAGACCTAAGAACTCGCATTTGTGGAAAGTTCCCAATGGGTGTTGCTGGTCTGAGCACCACCCCTTGAGAAGCTTGGCTCTCAAAGAACCTTAGATTAGCAGGGTGCAGTGGTATGTCTGTGTAACCCCAGGAGGCTGAGGCAAGAAGAGTGCAAGTTTGAGGGCAGTCTGGGCAGTTTAGCAAGACCCTGCTCGAAAAGAAAAAAAAAATCATAGACTCATTAGCAGGGGTCAACTTCATTTTTATTTATGATCGTTTATTCATTCAACAAATACATAGTATGTGGCTACCCTTCCAGATGCTGGAGCTGTAGCAATGAATAACACAGACAGAAACCCCTGCCATGCAGAGCTTGTGCCTTTCAGGGAGGACAGATGCCCTGAAGTCGGTCAGTGAAACAGAAGTTGGTGAGCACTAGGGAGTCCGGGTGTGGGCAGAAAGCCAGTGACTGTCCCTGAGCTCTGGGGTGGGTTAGCAGGCGTGCAGTGCTGTCTGAGGGATGGGCACAGTCACCTCTGCCAGTTCTTAGGAGAGGAGGAGCTTCTTGTTGCTGAGGGAGGCCCTAGGGAGGAGCTGACGGAGGGAGATCGTACCTACCAAGTTCAACCGCTAGCACCCAAGTGAGTAAATATAAACATGTATGCAGACTTTTAAAGACTGGTTAGAAGCCAGGTGCAATGGCACATGCCTGTAATACCAACACTCAGGGAGCTGAGGCAGGAGGATTGCTGTGAGTTTAAGGCCAGCCTGAACTACACAGCAAGACCCTATCTCAAAACAAACAAATAAATGAACAAACAACCCGCCTAAAAAACCGAGGTTAGATAGCTCTGTACAGCTTAAAATGGTAGTTGCTTGGCTGCTGCCTGTGGGGCAGGGCTGGATGGAGCACACTTACCCTGGGGCGCCCACTCCGTGTCCCCAGCCACATCCCTGCTGCACACCTAGACCTGTGTCTTCCCTGCAGGCCAGCTCTGCTCCTCTGCCCACTTCCCATCTCCCACGCGTTTGTGGTCATTCTTGGGCTGCAGCGGCCTTTCCAGGGCTTTATGGAGGAAGTGGTCTCATTTGATATTTGTGTGTGTGTGTGTGTGTGTGTGTGTGTGTGTGTGTTTGAGACAGGGTCCCCGATGCATCCCAGGCTGACCTTGAACTTGCAGTCTTCCTGCTTCAATCTCCGAAGAGCTGGGATTGCAGGCCTGTGCCACTATCCCTGACTGGTGCCATTTGTTCTTCTAAAAGTTCTTGCTACAGGGCAGTGTACTTTCAGAACTAGAGTCACATGGTTTATGCTTGAAGGAAAGGTAACATGTGGCATGATGGTGTGTGCTTCCCTGGAGGCAGCTGACAGCTCAGTGAACTGGATGTGGAAAGGTTTACATGCTGTCTCCTGCCTAAGTTGTCCTTGGGTGGATATTTTGTGCATGCGTGCATGCGTGCATGTGTGTGTTGGGGGAGGGTCCTGGGGGTTGAACCTAGGACCTTTGCACTGAGACATATCCCAAGGTCTTTTTTTAAATTTGGAGATAGGATCTCACTAAGTTGCCCAGTCTTGGTTCAGACTTATGATCCTCCTTCCTCAGCCTCCCAAAGTACCAAGATTACAGGTATGTGCCCCTGCACCTGGCTCTTGGGTGGCTCTTTTTGAAGAGCATCATTGGAGGATGCTGTGGACACCTCCCACCACCCTGGGCTGGGGAGGGAACCAGCGCCTGCTGAGGTGAGAAGGGTCTGTAGCAGTGAGTGAGGTGGTACAGAGGAAGGGGTGCAGAAAGTGCTGGATCTCTTTCATTGCCTTTCTGTCCCCGCTCCATGTCTGCTCTGCAGGACTCAGAGTGAGGACCACACTCTAGGTTACATCAAGGGCCTCTCCTCGCTGCAGTGTCAGCAGATGGGAGGGGCCGGTGAGGTGAAGGCATTTGTTCTCCTTGTTCCCTGCCTGCAGTGTCATTAGGGCTGGCCCTGAACCAAAGCCTGGGCCCCTGCAGGTAGCCCCCAGTGCGCCTCTGGCCCGAATGGGAACAGCGCCCCCTACCCACCCCTAACGGTACTACAGTGCCCTTGCCCTTCCCACACCTTGCGCACAACGGGTTTCTTTTCAGCAATGTTCCTTTAGTTTTCAGTGCATAAGTCTTTTGGCTACTTGTGTAAGCTTATTCCTAAGTAAACCTATTGATGTTATATAGGATGGTTTTCGTAATTTCCTTTTCAAGTTATTCAATGTTAGCATAAAAAATGCAACTTACCTGTGTACTGGTTTTGTATCCTGTAACTTTGCTAAATTCATTCATCAGTTCTAATAGCCTTTTAAAGGATGCATTGGGATTTTATACATATGATTTATTTTATTTTATTTTATTTACCAGGAATCGAACTCAGGACCTTGTGCTTGCCAGGCAGGTGCTGTGCCACTGAGCTAATATCCTCGGCCCTTATATGAGTTCATCTGTGAACAGAAATACTTCTCTCCCATCGGGATTCCTTGAATTTCATTTTCTTGCCTAATTTCTCTGGCTAGGAGCTCCAGGGCTGCACTGAATAGATGTGGAAAGGTGGGGTCAGTGCCCTATTGCTAATCACCGGGGCAGTTCTTTGGGTTTCACCACTGGGAGGTTGGCTGCGCTTGGTTCCATTCTTAAGTTCCCCAGAACCACCCAGGTTGGGTGTGTCCTGTGTTTCACCCAGGACCTGGGATGGGTGGCTGTAAAAGATATAAACAAGCCAGATGTGGGGACAGGCTGTGTAAGTGCTTAGTTCAGACTTTGCAAATATAATTTTCATAACCAGCTCTGGGCTTGATGCTGCCCGGGAATTGGTGCCAGTTGCCCCGATCACTATAAATTTCCTGTGAACAGCTTTATTTTTCCCTATGGTCGGAGTCTTAAGCAATAGATAAGGCTGGATACTTATGTATATACATGCATACATTTTCTTACAGGAAGGAGTTCTTTGTTTTCAGCACTTCTCTGCTTTGTTGTTCAAGTGCTTAGGCAATCATCAAAGGAGAAATTATTGCTGTGAGGCAGCAATGATTTTTACACACGTTTGGGAGGCCTTGTGCCAGGAGCCTAAGCCTTTGGCAGTCCTCAGTTTTAGCTTTTGTTCCCACTTGGCTGTGAGCTTGGGAGAAATTTTAACCCCATTTCTACCTTACAGCGTTGTATGAAGATTAAGTGAGATGGTATATGTGAAGAGCTTATCTTGCTCCCAGGCCCAACACATAATAAATGTTCTGTAAGTGGTAGTTACCATTAAAAACTTTCATTATATTTGAGAGCTATTATCAGGTTCTGATCAGCAGTAGGGCATTGATCTCACCTTTGCTATGTCTATTCAGGGCAGCCCTGGAGCTCCTAGCCAGGGAAATGATGTAATCATTGCAGGTCTGCAATCTCCTGAACGAGTGGATGGCAAAGGCTTGAATAAATAAGACAGTTGAGGGGCTGGGGATATAGCTCAGTGGCATAAGCACCTGCCTGGCAAGTACAAGGTCGTGTGTTCGATCCCAGGTACCACAAAAAGAACAACAACAACAAAAAAATAAATGAGACAACTGAAACGATTTTAGGGCTCCAGGAGGGTCCAGCTGTCTTACAGAATTTGAGATTCTCTGAGTTAAGAAAAAGACTTCTCTGGGCAGCCCATATTTATTAGGTTTTCAAACAAAGGAGGAGGATACTCAAGAAAGCGTGGGAATCTAGCAGGACCTTGGGAAATATTTTCCTGAGTAGTAAATTATGTCAATCAGAACTACCTTATCTTTAGGCCGGCATTTATTGTAGGAATGTGGAGCCTGTAGTTGCAGTCCCATTTTAGTTAATTGGGATTGGAGCCAAATGTCCTCAGCTGTGGGCTTAGCTTGTCCTTTGAGGTGTCACCACTTTACAGGCCAATACCGGCCTCAGCGGTAACCAGTGACTCACAGAGGTTCACTTACTATGAGTCTCTGCTCATCTCTGCCTAAACTTCAGACAACACACAAGTAAACATGGAAAGCCAATTGGTTAATATTAAATTCTACTCAGGGGTGCTTCATAGTGGTCTCCATCAGGAGAGAAATAAGTATCTCTGTGCATAGATGAAATCATATGTATAAAATCCCAATGCATTTTTAAGAATATCTATCTATCTATCAATCTATCTATATTTAGGTTCAGTGCCCCAGAAGCTCTGAAGTGTATATTTTTAAAGTAACTTCTTAGGTGGGCATGGTGGTACATGCCTGTAGTCTCAGCACTCTGGGAGGCTGAAGCAGGAGGATCAAAAGTTGGAGCTCCACCTGGGCAACTTAGTGACTTAGCAAGACCTTGTCTCAACACAAAAATTAAAAAAGAAAATGACCTGGGCATGTAGCTCAGTGATAGGCCCTGGGCTCAATCTCCAGTACTGATGATGATGATGATGTAGCTTCTTGTATAGGCACACTTGCTGTCTGCATGCATCCTGCACTCACAAGCCTTTGCAGCCCGGCTTTCTGGCCATTGTTTTAATCCTGGGGGCTAGTGGTGGCTACGTGGCGTAGCATGGTCAAGCCAAGCGCAGTTGAGAGTTGGCATCCAGGGCCAATGCCTCTCTAGAGGTGGAGGGTGGAGGTGTAAAATTGACTTGGGCACAGAGCTAGCCATGTGCTCTTGCTGCTGGCTTGGCTTGGATTTGGAATCCTGCTTTGTTGATGGCCTTGTGGAAAGAAAGGCAGTTAAAATGGGCAGGAGAACCAGAAGCGGTGCCAGAGGGCTGGATCCAAGGGCCTTGGGGGCCCAGGAGTGGACTGCGCTGCTCACCCAAGGAAGGGTGCAAGAACCTTACAGCATGAGGGTGGCCTGTCCTAAAGAAGGGAATCCCAGCTGCACCTTCGTTTTAGTACCGGCGTGATTACAGGATCATCCTGAAGAGTGAGAGAGAATTTAAAGAGGAACAAATCCAGTCACCTGAACTTCTCCACCCACTGATTGTACTGATAACGTGTTTATAACTGCCTTGTGGAGCTTTTCACACGCCTGTATATAGAAACTGAAAATGAGATCACTTTATCTGTGCCCTGTAACTGCACTTACCCCTATTGTATGTGTGTCCTTCTGGATCAACAAGGGGAAATTTGTTATGAAATGACATAGAGCAGTTTTATGTCTTTGCCTTCAGTGCAGTCAGGGTTATACCTTTGGACTTTGTTTTTTGTTTTTTTTAAGCACTGAGATTGAACTCGGGGAGTGCCTAACTACATCCCCAGCCCTTTTTATTATTAATTAATTAATTAACTAATTTAATGTATTTATTTACTTATTTTTTGGGAGGCAGGGTCTCGCTGTATCGTTCGGGCTGCCCTTGGACTCACTATGTAGCCCAGGCTGGCCTTGAACTTGTGGTAGTCCTCCTGCCTCAGCCTCCCTATTGCTGGAATTGCAGGTGTGCACCACCATACCTGGCTGTATTTATTTTTTGAGACAGGATTTCACTGTGTAGTTCAGGCTGGTCTACAACAGGCAAACCTTTGTTAATTCCTAAATTTTTGTTTGTGTGTCTGTTTTTGTTTTGAGACAGCATCTACCTGCATAGTCTAGGTTGGCCTTCAACTTGGAATCCTCCTGCCTCAGCCTCCTGAGTGCTAGGATTACGGATGTGCCACCAGGCCCAGCTGCTTGCTGAATTTGACATTGAACAAGATGAGGGCACAGGGCACAGTCATGGCATTATTTTCTGATGTAAAGACAGCTGTCAGCCTTCAAAAACATATATGAATGATGGCAAGATTTCCTCAGCCTGTTATTTATCATCAATATAAAAATATTGGCATAAGCCTAAGGTTTCTAGGGTACTCTTCACCTTGTTGTGTAGATCCCGAAATCCTGGATCTCGCTGTTGTTAATATTCCTGTTTTTGGGGGTTTACAAGTTGGAGTGGAGGAAGTTGAGGTTAAGAGAATTTCAGTGGCCTTTCCACTTTACCATGCTGCCTGTGTTTATCTCACCTGGATGTTGTGTATGTGTATGTGTGTGTGTGTGTGTGTGTGTGTGTGTGTGTTTTGAACTTGGGTCATTAATATCTCTCTGATGTTGCTTTTAGGTACCAATCACATAGAAAACAGAAGAACCCATGGCTAGTTCACAAAACAAACTTAACATCATTGTATTTCTTTTATTTTTTGTAGAGACTAGAACTTTTCTAGTTCCAGCTTGTGGAACTAGATTTGCTAGTAGTGTTCAAGGGTATCTGAAAATCCCCACTCTGCCAGGACTGTCCAGGGCAGAGCTGTGCTGTACCGGGAGCTCCTTGGCGGCTGTCTCCGCTGTATCCCTCTTGAGTATATTTTCACAGCTTGCTTTCAGTGAGGGCGTGGCTATTTATACTTTTCTTTCCCTCTTGCATCTTCAGCTATGACAGAGACTCCACTTTCAACGTGTTTGTGGGAAAAGGACAGCTGATTGCAGGGATGGACCAGGCCCTGGTCGGGATGTGCGTAAATGAGAGGCGCTTCGTGACGATCCCCCCGAAACTTGCCTACGGAAGTGAAGGAGTTGGTGAGTTTCCATTGTGCGCTGCCGGGCACATCTGCAGAGAAGCAGACGGTGTGCTGACCACCAGCGCTGCGGACTGGGAGAAACGAAGGCAGTGAGCCCAGCTGAGATCTCCGTCTTCAAGTTGTCTCTTCTAGGCGTGAGAGAAGGTCATTAACACATGTGGTCAATGAGAGCCTTAAGGGGAGAAGATTCTTGTTTCTTTCTCTTTCAGTGTCACTGCAGGAAAGAGGAATGGGTCGTTTTGGAATTGCAGGCCCACTGAAGCTCTTTTGACTTCCATTTGCACTGACAGCATCCCGGGCATTTATTTATCTGGCTCAAAGGCAGCAGTTTCTCAGTGTGAATTCTTTCCAATTTCTAGCTGGCGTGATCCCCCCGAACTCCGTGCTCCATTTCGATGTGCTTCTGGTGGATATTTGGAACTCTGAGGACCAGGTGCAGATTCACACGTATTTCAAGCCTCCCAGTTGCCCTCGGACCGTCCAGGTGTCTGACTTCGTGAGGTATCACTACAACGGTACCTTCTTGGATGGCACGCTCTTTGATTCCAGGTGGGTCCCACTGGTGGCCATGTCCACAGAAGGCGCCTTAGCCCCTTCTGTTGTGCCTACTTTTTGCACTGTGAAGAAACCAGGAAAGGATGCTTCCCACCTTTAACCAGTATCAAACGCTACAGAAAACTTTTGGGTTAGTGTTGCACGCACCGCGGTCCCAGAGTCAACATTTAATGCACGTTAGAAAAGTCTGAAAGCAGTGCTTGTCTCGTTTAACAGTATTTTGGGGCCTCATCATTACGCGAAGGTCTGACTGTGTGTTGTTTAATTCCTTTGGTTTTCCGTGGAAGGAGAAGGGAGAATGAAGCTGTGGGGAGGCTTGGGATGCACTACAGATTTCCTCCCAGTGATGTGTGTGTGGTTAGTGGAATAGCTGTCCCTTTTTCATCAGTCTCTGTGGTGTAAATATGAGCTTTTTGTTTCCTCTTGGCCTTGAGGAATTCTCTGTGTGGGGATACAGATCCAGACCTGCCTGTCTCTAGGGCTGGGTGTGGGCTCGTTGTTTAGCAAAGATACGGGTGACAAAATCCTTCCCGAGGGGGGGCTTGGAAACACACGGTGTACAACTTCTTTCTCTTGGTTCTCAGTCACAATCGCATGAAGACCTATGACACGTACGTGGGAATTGGCTGGCTGATTCCTGGCATGGATAAAGGGCTGCTGGGGATGTGCGTGGGAGAGAAGCGTGTCATCACCGTTCCGCCTTTCCTGGCCTATGGCGAAGATGGCGACGGTACATCCTGCCCCTTTCGGGAGCCTCTCTCATCCCCACCCTCCACCATCTTTTTGCAGTGATTAATTTAGTTGTGACCACATGAAACCCACCAGGTAGCCCAACATGTGGTGTACATCTGTAATCCCAGCACTCAGGGAGCCGTAGGCAGGAGGTTCACAAGTTTGAGCCCAGCCTGAGCAGCTTAGTGAGACATCTGTCTCAAAAATGAAAAGGGCTGTAGGTGTAGCTCAGTGTGAAGGCTGTGGGTTCAACCCCCTGTACTGGAAAGAAGAAGAAGAAGGAGGAGGGGGAGGGGGAGGGGAAGAAAGGGGAGAGGGGAGGAGAAGAAGAAGAAATGTTTTGCAAGCTGTTTCCTGCTCTTGCAAGTCCACAGAGCAGGAGAGAGGGATTGGATGGAATAGATGGGGTCAGTGTCTCCCTGTTTGCCATAACTTTTTCCTGTCTTATGTGCTCAAGGTCTACACACAGTTCCTTAAAAGGAAGGTAGGTGGGTGGAGCGCCCTACTAAAAGAAAAGTGAAGTTTGAAAACCACTGCCAGAAGTGTGTTTCACTTCCTCCCTCCCTGAGGAAGAAGTTATTCTTCTTCTGTGTGTTTGTGTGGTGCTGGGGTTTGAACCCAGGCCTTGTGAATGCTAAGCAAGTGCTTTACTGCTGAGCAATACTCCCAGCCGCATGTACAAGTTTCAGTGGGTGAGTTGTATGGTGCGCGAATTATATCTCAATAAAGCTGTATAGTATTGTGCAATTAGTACACGTTAGTGCCAGAAAAATTTAATCCTGTTAAATGACCTGTTAGTTACTTTGAAGACTTTGTTAGGCTGGGGAGGATTTCCTTTTTTTTTTTTTTTTTTTTTTTTTTTTTTTTTTTTTAGAGACAGGGTCTCACTATGCAGTTCAGGCTTGCCTTGAGCTCACTTTGTAGCCCAGGCTGGCCTTGAACTTGCAAGGATCCTCCTGCCTCAGCCTCGATTACAGGCGTGTGCCACCATGCCCAGTTTTGGACTTTCTTTTCAATGGCAGAGCACCTGCCTCAAATAATCAGCTTCAGGATCACACCCCAGCACTACAAAAAAGAGGAGAGGGAATGACTTTTTTCCTTGTCTGTAGTTAAAAGATAAAGTATAGAAGAGATACCTTGTATCTGTCACACATGCCTCAGGGCTGGAGTGCACTTGGAGGCTGACATGGCTGCCTGCTTGAGTGGATTCAGCACCTGCAGAGGGGAGGAGGTGCAGGCAGGGCTCTGCCCAGCTGGGGAGCACTAGGTGCTGCTGCCAGCAGGTCATTTGCCCGACAACTCCTTTGCACAGAACAACAAGCTCAAGGGGTGCACTGAGGAGTTGGCTTGTTCCACAGCTTCCTGTTAGGCCATGTTACTGGTGCAGTTATTTCTTGGTGGACGCTGGACCCTTCGGGAGGAGCTAGCTCCCTGTGGAGTTAATGGGAATGCATCCTTTTGCAGAAAAGTCCTGGCTCCAGCCCCTGCCTTGCACCCTGGCTTTGGGTTCCAGCCTCTCTCTCCACCTCTGTGAACATCAGACAGTCTAAGACAGTGGTGGCGAATCTGTGGCACCCCTGCCACAGCTGACTGTTATCATTGAAAGCTCTAAGTTTGCCATCACTGGTCTAAGGGTTCAGACATCGAGGGAGATATGCAGCCGTGTGATCCCAGGATTGCCAGTTCACCTCTATGATGCATTTTACTTAGGACATTAACTTCTGATGGCCTAACATTATAAATGCATTTGTTAGGGTTAATGTGGATCCAGCTCTGTCCTGTTGCCTTGGAGGGATCGGTCCCAGGACCCCCTGTGGGAACCAGAATCTTTGCCTACTCAGATCCCTTATATGAAACCAGAGTGGTGCTTGAGTACAAGCTCTACACCTCCTTCTGTGTACTTGAGATGGCTTATAACACCTCATACAATGTACCTGCTGTGTACATAGTTTCTGTGCTGTATTGTTTTAGGGAATAATCACAGGAGAAAAAGTCTATATATGTTCAATGGAGACATTTTCTTTCCTGTCCTCTAGATCAAAGCCAAGGGTGCTCTACCACTGATCTATATCCCAACCCGCTTTATTCTTTGAGACAGGGTCTTCCTAAATTGCCCAGGTGGGATTTGAACTTATAATTTTTCTGCCTCGGCCTGTCAGTGCTGGGATTATAGGTATGCACCACCATGCCCAGCTCAGACATAACGTTTTTCTTGAATATTTTCTATCAGCAGTTGGTTGAATCCATGGCTGCAGAACTGTTGATATGGAAGGTGGATTGTGCTCAATACATCCTCACCCTAGACACACGTAAGAGAAGTGGTAAATGCACAAGAGGGAAAGAAATGGTTTGAACATTGTTCGTATTTTGGACTGTGGCTGCCATCTTCCTTTTTATCATAGTTAACTTTCATTTTATTTGTATCCTATTCTGGATACTCTTAAAGGATTGAACCTAATTTTGTATTTTTGTTCTTTAAGAAATTGATTGTTGTTTCTTTGTCTGTTTCTCTTTTTCTCTTTTCTTTTTTTTTTTTTTGGTTTGAAACTAGGGCCTTTATACTGAGCTACATCCTCAACCTTTTAAAAATATGTATGTACTTTTGAGGCAGGGTCTCACTAAATTGCTCAGTTGCCCAGTGTAAGCTGAAACTTGTGATTTTCCTGCCTCAGCCTCCATGAGTACTGGGATTATAAAGTGTGTACTGCCAAGTGTGTGTAGAAGCAGATCAGAGCTTTGGAATCGGCACCTTTAGATGTCTACACAAACGGAACCCCCCAGAGCAGTGTGTTTGAGTTGCCTGTGGTTTTGCAACCCCCTAGATGGAACCCTTGATTTCTGATACGGGAACAGCCCTGACTATCCAGTGGCTGCTTTGCCTGTGTAAGTCAGGCCTCACGCTGTGCCCATGAACCCATGCGTGGAGACGTGGTGAGACACCATGTTTAAGATGGAGCTGCCGAAAGCCTTCGTGTCTGTGGTATGAGAACTTCAAGGGATGAAAATGGCCAGCACAGGGGTAGTTGCGGAGGTTCAACCCTTCCTCAGCCTCTTGTCCTGATGGAGACCGCTTCCTCCACCCCACCCCAGGGAAAGACATTCCTGGGCAGGCATCACTGGTGTTCGATGTCGTGCTGCTGGACCTCCATAACCCCAAGGACAGCATTTCCATTGAGAACCAAGTGGTGCCGGAGAGTTGCGAGCGCAGGAGCCAGAGCGGGGACTTCCTCCGGTACCACTACAACGGCACACTGCTGGACGGCACCCTCTTCGACTCCAGGTGAGTGGCCTCACCGGCTGGTGGCTCCAAGTCAGGTCTGCGCCAGCGAGCTAGGCTGGGTGTGCTGTGTGCGCTGGCCCAGGGCTCATCTCCAGGACCAGACCCTTCTGATTCCAAGGTCTTTCACGGGCTGCCTGGATGGTGTCCCCCAAGGGCTGGTGCAGAGGGGTCTACGATGAAGTGGAGAGGCTCACCCGACATTGCAGCACCTGCCATCCTTGGTCCCTCAGACAGGAGCGCCAGCAGGCAGGACCAGGAGGCGCAGCCTCTTGTCTAGGTGCACTCGCTGTGGTTGGCCGCGGGTACCCTGGCCTTTCACAGCTCCCAGTACTTCTGTATATCCCCGCTGCAGGCATGTCCGGTGGCTGTGGTGAGGAGACAGGTGTGACAGTGCCCAGCAGAGGCTGCAGAGCCTCCTTCCTCAGAGTCTTGTTCCTCAGCCGGCCTAGGTGTCAGGCACATGTGGCTGGCAGTGTGTAGAATGTGTTTCTTGGAACCTCGCCTTTGGCTTCCTGTAAACAAGTAGTGTGGCACCAGCCTGTCTATAGGTGTCAGACTTCCGTTTTACTTAGTCATCGCAAAGCCTCGCAGGATGATTTTTTTCTATGGTATTACAGTATTTTATTCCTTTTCCTTTTTCTTTTTTTTTTTTGTCTTTTTGAGATGGTCTCACTTTGCAGTTCAGGCTGGCCTTGAGCTTACTCTGTAGCCCTGGCTGGGGCTCACAACGATCCTCCTGCCTCAGCCTCCCAAGTGCTGGGATTACAGGCATGCGCCACCATGCCCGGCTGTCAGTATTTTATTTCAATAATCTATTATTCTTAGTCCCAAGATCTTTTTTTTTACATTTTCCATTTAAGTTTTTTGGAAAAAGGTAACAGTCACATGGTTCTAAATCAAAACACAGTAAGAGAAACACGTGTCTGGCTTTATCTGCTCAAGTTCCTGTCCTGCCCCCACTGAGTTAATCATTTCATTCATTTCATTAGTTTCTTTTAGCCAGGTGTGGTGGTGCATGCCTGTAATCCTAGTACTCAGGAGGCTGAGGCAGGAGGATCACTGCAAATTTGAGGCCATGCTGGGCTATGAAGTGAGTTCAAGGCCAGCCTGAACTGCATAGAGAAACCCTGTCCCAAAAAGACAAAAAAAAAAAAAAAGAAATTAATTTGTTTCTTTTTATTTATCCAGTGTATAGACTTTTTAAAATGCA